GGGCATGGGAGGCTGGGGCACTCATAATGGGCTGTCAGGGGGTTGGAGCACCCATAGAGGCTAGGTGGCACGCATGGGGGGCTGGCCTTTGAGGAACCTGCAGAGGGCAGGGAGGCAGAGGATGGACTGGGGCATCCATGGGGGGGGCAGGAGGGCACTGGGGACTAGGCTGCCTATGAGGGGTAGGAGGGGACAGGGGGGCTGGGGTATCTATAGGGGCAGATGGGCGCAGGGCAGCTGTGGGTAGGCAAAGGGGCGTGGGAAGCAGGGGGCTACAGGGGGGCATGGGAGGTTGGGGCAACTGTAGAGGACAGGGGGGCACAGGAGGGACCAGGACACCAATAGTAGGGGGATATAGAGGTCAAGGGCATCTGTTGAGGGCAGGGGGGCATCAAGGGTAGAGGCCCCCATGGGGGACTGAGGGGGTCAGGGGAGATTGAGGCATCTAGGGAGGCACAGACAACCCATGGGGAGGCAGAATGGCAGTGGGGACAAGGGACACAGGGGATTGGGGTTAGGCTGGGCTAAGAGGAAACAGGGGAACTCAGGGGGCTGGAGCACCCATGGATGGCAGAGTGGGTCAGGTGGGGGTTGGGGCATCTGGGGTGGGGGGGAGGGTGCCATGAGGGGCTGGGGGAACCCTGAGGGGCAGAAGTACAGAGGTCTGTGTCATGAGATGTCATTGTGGTGACCCTGGGATGCCATTGGGTTGCCCAGGTCTGGGGTGCGCACAGCTGCAGTCCTGTTGGCCATGCCCAGCCTGGCCTGGCTTCTGGCCCTTCTCTCAGTCAACAGTGACACGTTGCTCTGTCACTATCTGTTTGCCGCCTCCAACTGCCTCCAGGTCAGTGAGGAGCACCTGACACTCCACCTGTGGGACCTCCAGAGCCACTGCCCCTGGGACCCCCAAAGACTCCAGAACCCCAAATGCTCTGTCCCTACGATCCCCAGTGACCACCACCCCTGGGACTCCCAGAGATCCCAGAGCTCCCTGAATCTCACACCCTTGGGATTTCCAGAGTTGCATGCTTATTTGTAGGGCAGCCAGTGGGCACAGAGAGTTCCTTTGCCATATCCAGGGCACTAATGGGAGGTATCTAGTGTGGGCACCTCAACCACGTCATGGTGCCCATGGAGGGCACCCAGTGCGTGTATGGGGGTCCCTCATCCTGTTTGAGATATCAGTGGGGGACACCTATTGGGTGTGGGGGGACACTCATTCTCTTTGAGGTGCCAATGGGATGCACCCAATATGGATGGTGAGCCCTTGACCAGTCCAGGGTGCTGCTGGGATCCTCCCAGGCTGTACGCACCCTTCCTTGTCCCCCCTGCCCCCTCTCTGCCCAGGGCCCCCTTATCTTCCTGTTCTGTGTGGTGCTGAGCAAGGAGGTGCGAAGGAGCCTTTGCCTGAGCTGTGCCTGCTGCCACCACACACCGCTGGCCACGAAGGCCACCCTCACCCCTGTGAGTGCCGGGCTATGTGGGGGGTGCCAGGAAGCAAAGGGCAGCCTGTGCCATGGCTATGACATCCTTGTGCCCTTCACAGGCCTGTGGCAGGGACAGCACATATTTGTCAGGGCGACTGTACCCCCCTCCAGGTGGTGGGTCCTCGGGGTCTCTGCACAGCACTGCACGCTCGGGCAAGAGCCACCACAGCTACATCCCCTTTGTGCGGCGGTACTGGGCACAGCAGGGGCCAGGGCATGGGTTTTTGTGGGGTCGTGGGCTGGTGTGGCACTGGGATGACAAGATGGTATGGTGATGGGATGGTGGGGTAGCAGGGTGCTGGGGTGGTTGATTGGTGGGTTGGTGGGGTGGCAGTATGGCATTGCATGGTTGTGGGGGTGTTGAGATGGCTGGGTAGTGGGGCAGTGGCATGGGTGCACAGCAGTACAGTGGCAGAGTGGCATGCACATAGAGTGGTGAGGTGGCAGGGTGGGGGGTTGAGGGGGGTGTCAGGGTGAAGAGGTATCAGGGTGCTGGATATCAGGGTGGTGGGTATCAGTGGGTGGATATTGTGTCAATGGGTTGGTGTCAGTCAGTGGGTGACAGTGGATGGTAGGTATCTGTGAGTGGGGATGAGATGCTGATGAGTACTGTGTCTCCACAGGGAGGATTCAGGGCTGGCAGGCAGCCCAGGGCCAGTGCTGCTGCAAGAGCCTGGGGAGCTCTTCCTTGATGTCCAGGACCAGCCCAAGGGTATGGCCTCACCCATAGGGCAAGTGTACCCAGCCTCAGCCCCGGGGACAGGAGGTGTCTCTGGGCACCCCCTGACCCATGACTCCCCAGAACATGACACAGACTCGGACAGTGACCTGTCCCTGGACGACCCGAGTGGATCCTATGGCTCCACACATTCCTCTGACAGCGAGGACGAGGCCCTCCATGGCTGGGACCTCCTGCCCGCGGCTCCCCCGGGTCCCCCCGGCCCTGGTAACACCCCCAGGGGGCACCCCATGGAGATGGGGGACCTTCAACCTGGCTGGGTGCTGATGGGGGGCACCCAATGGGTTGGGGGAGGTACCTTGTGCTTTGTCTTATCCAGGACACTGATGGGGGCACCTGCTGGGGATAGGGGTCCTTTGTCCAGTCTGGAGTGGTGATAGGGCCATTGAATGGATTTGGTGGGGGTGTGAGAGGGCCCCTCATCTTGGCTGGGTCCTGATGTAGGGGGCACACAGTGGACCAAGGATCCCTTGTCCAGCCTGGAGTTCTGATAGACACATAGTGGGTATAAGGGAGAGGATCCCTTGTCCGGCCTGGTGTGGTGATGTGGGACACCTAAAAGGTTTGGGGGGGTTCCTCATGCAGTCAGAGGTGCTGATCAGGGCACCCATGGGGGGAAAGATGGCCCCTTGTCCAGTCCAGGGTATGGATGGGACTGACACAATTGGTTTGGGTGCATCCCTCACACTGACCATGTGCTGATGGGGGCACCCAGTGAAGATGGGAGGGGTCCCTGGTCCTCCCTGTCCCAGCTTTCTTCTTCCCTCACAGGTGACCCCCTGGTGCCCCCAGGGTGCCCATACTGGCCAGGGGAGTTTGTGACGACGACAGCTAGTGAGAGCGAGGGACCAGGAGGTAGCGAGGGGCTTCGAGTGCAGCCAGCAGGGGGCCAGGGACACCCCTGGGGCCACCCCCCTGGGCCCAACGGCAAGGCACTCCCCAGGGACCCCCTGCTGCTGCCGCTGCCCCATCCCCACAAAGGTACGGGCTGCCATGGCAGGGGTAGGCACTCCAGATCTGGCCTCCCCACCCATGGGTGATGCTGCTCCTGCAGGGATACTGAAGAAGTGCCTGCCCCCCAGCAGTGAGCGGGGCAGTGCCCTGCACCCTGGGCCCCCCCCACCGCCTCCTGCTTGCACAGCTGCCTCCTCGGGCAGTGATGCGGGGGCCCTCCCAGTCCCCCGGCCTCGGCAGAGCCTCCAGGAGCAGCTCAGCGGCCTCACCCCCATCGCCATGAGCATCCGCACAGGCACTGCTGACGAGGACTCCTCTGGCTCTGAGTGAGTGCCCACCACATCTGAGGGATGCTCACTGGGAGTTCTTTGAGTGCCAGGGTTCCCTCTGGGCAGCCGTTGGGTTTGAGGGTGCCCTTGGGGTGCCAGGGTTCCTGTTGGGTGGACAAGCAGTCAAACACTTGTTGGGTACCCTTTGGGTGCCTATCAGACACAAAGATGGCTGGGTACCAGGGTGCCAAGGTTCCTGTTGCACTCTCATTTGGTGCCAGGGTTTCTCTCAGATGCCCATTGGGTCCAACACTGCTCGTTGGCTGCCCATCAGGTGCCACAGTACTGACTGGACACCCATTGGGTACATTTCCTGTCAGGTATCCATCAGGTTCCAGGGTTCTCTTTGGGTGTCCACTGTGTGTCAGGGTGCCCAACAGGTGCCCTATGGATGCCGATCAGGTGCCAGGTTTCCTTCTTGGGTGCTCAACAGGTCCCAGCAGTCCCTTTGGATCCAGTGAATATTGGGTGCCAGGGAGCCCATTTGGTGCCCACCGTGTGTAAGGGTGTTTGTTGGGTGTCCATAGGGTGCCCACTAGATTCCCACTGAGTGCCCATTGTGTGTTGGGGTACCCATTGAATACCCACTGCATGCCAGTTGACTGTCCGTGGGTGCCCATTGACCACTGGATGCCCATTGTGCATCCACTGACCATTATGTATCCATTATATCCATTATGTAGTCCACTGACTGTCCATTGGGTGCCTAATGACCTCTGCATGCATACTAGGTGCCCCTTGAGTCTAAACAACACCTGTTGGGTGTGTGTTAACTGTTCATGAGTGCCCACTGTTCATGAGTGCACCACAAAGGTGCCTGTTGACCACTGGGTGCCCACTGGGTGTTGGGGTGCCCATTGGAGCATTCATTGAGTGGGGTGCCTACTGGGTACCCCTGACCACCCATGGATGCCGAGGGCAGAGGTGGCAAAGCAGCACTAACCCTACTCTTCTCTCCCCCTCTACCCCCCAGATTTCTGTTTTTTAATTTTCTCCATTAACCCAAGGGGGCTGGGGGCTCCCCCCCAACCCCCACCCCTCCATCTCACCCCAGGGATTGGCACTGGGTGCTGGGGGGCACAGAGGGCACCCTGGCACCTAGCTCCCCCATCACACATCTGTCTGTCTTGTTTTTTATTCCCCCTCCATCCCTCACTTTGTATCCATCCCCCCCTCCCCCCATCTGTCCGTCCTCACCACCAGGAGCGACGAGACCTCGATCTAATGGGGACTCACCCAGTGGCCAGCCCACCCTCTGTGCCAGGGACGTCAGGACAGGGAGGGCACCAGGATTGTTGGGGTGGGGCAGGGAATACACCAGGACTGGGAGGACATCAGGAAGGAGCAGAAAAACACAACCTCCCCAGTGCACTTTGTATCCTTGCAGGGATTGGCACTCTGGGGAGGTGGCACAGGGTGCCCCTGTTGCCCCTCCATGATCACCCCCAGCCTCTTTGCCCAGGAGTGTTTTATTTAAAAAATACATGAAAATACAAAAAAAAAGGAGTTTATTACCAACTTTGTCCATTGTTCCAACCCTCATGAAGGTGCAACCTGTCCCATGGTGCCAACTCCCCCAGGTGGGGGGCATGTGGAAGGGGGATCAGCTACAGGTTACAGGGATGTCTGGGTCAGGGGTGAGGCTCAGGTGGGGGAACCCAGGGATGGGTGCTGGGGGGATGAGAGACCCCTAGGTGCTGGGAGACATGGGGAGTTCCTACTGCTGATGAGACCTTTTGTAATTAAAGCAAAACTCAATTAATGCCTCGGCTCATCCCTGGGGGAGGCCCCTGGCTCTGCCACCCCAACCTCAGCTGGTCCCTTGGGGTTCCAACTCTGCCTCACCACCTGTCAACCCCACAGGTGCCTTAGCTGATTCCTGGGGGCCCCTGGAACTGCCTGCCTCCTTCCAAAACCCAGTGGATGCCTCAGCTCATCCCTGGGGTGGCCTTGGCTCTGCCCACCCCAGCCTAGGTACCTTGGCTAGTACCTAGGGGGGGGTCTGGGTGCCTCCAGGGCCTCTGGATGGGTGTGTGTGGTTTGGGGGTATCACCTTGGGGTGCTGCTCACCGCCATCTTGCGGGGGGGCCGCAGGCGGGCAGGGGGGGGTCCTGGTTTGCACCCTGAGGCACCAGTTGTGGGGGCTGCCCGTGCTGCGCCTGCGCCTGCAAAGGAGAAAGAAGCCACAGGGAAACTAAGGCACGGGGGAGGGGGCATCTCCTGTGCCCCCCCAACCCCACTACATCCTTACCTCTGGGGGTGGGGGTCCTCCCACCTGCTGCTGGAGTCCGAGGGGGCACCCTGGGGAGGACAGTGGATGCCGGGGAACAGCTGGAGGGGACAGGGGTGGTGGTGGTCCTGGTGTGGGGCTGGCGGGTGGTGGGGGGGCAGGGGACTGTGCCCCCCCTCGCCTTAGCCTGGCCTGGGAAGAGAGGGGGGGTTGGAGTATGGCCCTGGAACCCTCATGGCCATGGTGTCCCCATCCCCTTGCCATCACTACCTGCTGTCCCCCCCCGGGTGGGCTCTGACCGGCCGCGGGCACCAGCCCCCTGCCCCTGAGGAGGGCATGGCCGGGGGGGGGGCACACAGCTGGGGCGGAGCCCCCTGCCACCCGAGGGTCCCTTTGCGGCTGCTGTGGAATTACGGCTGGGGGGTACCTGAAAATAGAGCAGGGGACATGGGGACATTACTCAGTGAGTGCCCCCTCCCACCCAAAGGGCTGGGGGGGGTTCACGATGCCCCTTGGAGATAGGGAGGCACTCACTGCCCCCATCTAGGATGGGTTTGAGGGCAGATCTGGGTGTTCAGCCCAAAGGGACACGGCTACACTGGGACACCTACCCCTGAGTCTCACCTACCTTGGGGACACTGGTGGCAGCAGAGGCTCCCCGGAGCTTGGTGGGGAGGTGGGGGATGGGGGCAGGTCCCCGAGACTCCACGGTGGGCAGGAGTGCCCGCACCGGGCTGTCCTTCACCACGAAGGTCTGGCGGCGGGGGCTGCGGGGTGTGCTGGGGGGCGTGGCAGCAGGTCCTGGGGGGTCTCTGGGAGCGGGAGAGGGCAAGTGACACCCCTCCAACTGTGCTGCCAAGCGCGTGGCCTCCCGCACCATCTCTTCCAGACGGGCCCCACTCAGGGGACTCCAGCGCCCATTGCCGCTCCCGTGCCGGCACCCCCTGCCTGGGCTATCCTCATCCTCCTCTTCCTCCTGGCTAAGGATGGGGAGCGGGGAAGGGCAATGGTGGTATCAGCACCCAACACCACTGCCAAGAAATGGCAGGAACCCCCCATCGCCATCCAGGACCCCATTCATTGTGTGACACGTCCCCCCAGGACCCCCAGAACCACATCTATGAGGGGGACAGGTTCACAGGACCCCAGGACCGTGTTCATGGGTTGACATATCCCCTAGGACCCCATCTTTGGGATGTGATATCCCTCGTGGCCCACAGGACTCCAGCTATGAGTTGCCACATCCCCCACAAGCCCATCCTTGGGGTGATCTGTCCCCTGGGACATTGATAATGAGGTCCCTGTCCTCCATGTCCCATTCTATTTCTCATGTTCCCAAATATGGGGTGCCCAGTCCCTGCAGTCCCAACCATGTGGTGCCCTGTCCCCGCTGTTCCCATCCACAGGGTGCCCTGTCCCCAGTACCCTCCTGTACCTGTCAGACGGGGACAGCACGCCGAAGTCAAAGCTTTCCTCGGTGACAAATCGAACATCTGGGGGGACACTAGGGGTGAGCCCCGGCCCCCCAGCCCAGAGGGGAAACACGGGGGACACGCAGCACTGGTGCTGCCATACCTCGGTCCTTGGCCATCGCCTCGGAGCACTGGGGCCACCTGTGGGAGCTGGGGGAGTCACCACTAACCCCATCAGGGTTCCCCACCCGTGCCCCTACCCGCCCCTCCGTGTCCCCAACCCCCTGCAGGAGCCCAGTGGCACCAGCCAGCACGCGGGTGACACAGCCAGTGCCAGGCACTGCCAGGCTCGGTGCCAACCGGGATGGGGACAGGGATGGCTTCACCAGTGCCAGTAGGTGGGGGTGACACCAGCGACCCCCGCCCGGGGAACCCACAGCCCAGCACCCCTAGGCCGGGTGTCCTCAGTGCCACATTGGGAAGTCCCAGCCCTGCACCCTGATCCGTGTGAGTCATTGTCCCCAGTGCCACAATGGTAGTTACCAGTCCCTATCAGGGGACCCCAGCCCAACACTGAGGGGGCCCAACCCCACAGGGAGGTCTCAGCCCCACACCCAGGGGACCCCCCATTCCACACCCAGAGGGGCCCAGCCCTAAACCCCGATCCCGGGGAGCTCCCAGCCCCACATCTTGATCCTCAGGGGGTCCCAGCCCCACGCTAGAGGACTCCATTCCAGTACCTAGGGGTCCCAGCTCTTCACCCCAATCCCTTAGGGACCCCAGCCACACACTGAGGGGGTCCCATCCACTTTCCTAGACCTCCCAGCTCCCAGGCGGGGGGGTCTCAGCCCCAAACCCGACCGTGGGGGGTCCCATTCCCATTCCTGGGCCTCCCAGCCCCACACTGTGGGGTCTCAGCCCCATAATGGGACGATCCCTCCCCCACACCTGGGGAATCCCCCAGCCCCGCATTCCCAGCCCAGGAAACCCCATTCCCACATTGAGGGGGTCCCAACTCCAGACTAAGAGGTTTCCAGCCCCACCGACGAGTCCTAGCTCCGCACCCCAGTTCCTTGGTGACCCCAGCCCCACACTGAGAAGGTCCCAGCTCCCACCGGGGGTCCAGGCCTCACAGCCCCAGCCTGGCGGTCCTCAGCCCGTACCAGGGGATCTCAGCCCGTCACCCCGACCCCATGTCACCCCATCTCCGCATGAGGTGGTTTACCCGGCGCTTCCGGCCCCCCCAAGCTCCCTGCCGGCTCCCCCTCTACCCGGGGGTCTCGGTCTGGCCCTCACCCCCCCTCCCCCACCTCACCGCCCCCGGCTCCCGCTTGCCGCGCGCGCCGAGAAGGCGTGGCCTAGCGAAAGGGGCGTGGTCTCGTTCGAATTCGCCCTCCCCTTGCGGCTCGATCGCGGCGCGCCCGCCCCGGGGTCCGATTGGTCCACGCCCTTTAAACATCCACTCTGATTGGCCAATCTCCTCACCTTTCACATCAGTGATTGGTTCTTCCCCTCCCCATGCCCCGCCTCCACCGGCTGGGGGTATGGCCTGGAAGCGCGGCGCCTGAGCGTCGTTCCGCCGCCGGTGCCGCCGCAGCATGACCTCCGTCCCGCCCGACTCCTGGCAGCCGCCCACCGTTTCCATGGAGACCACGTAAGGGGCGGGGCATCTCCCCGGTACCGGCACCGGAGACCCTGCCCACCCTTTGTCCCTCCCGCTTCCACGGCACTGGGGGTAAATCGGTGCCCGCTCCCTTTCCCCCCGGCTTCCATGCAGCCCCGGTGTTCTTGAGTCCCTGGTCCTCGCGGTACGGGGCAGTCCCCCGTATCCGTAAGCCCCCGGTACCAGGCAGACCCTGAACTCCACAGGTGCTAAGAAGCTCCCATTGTCTCCAGAACGGGACAGCTCCGTTATCCCCCAGTATGAGCTAGTCCTGGTTTCTGCCCCGGTACTAGAGGGCCCCTGGTTCCCCTGGTGCCCCCCATGGTGTTTGTAACCCCCAGGCCCCTCGGTACCAGGCAGATCCCAGTGACCCCGTGGTATCCCGTTAGCCCCAGTGTCTCCCGATATCGCACAGAACTAGCCATTCCTGGTTGTTTCCCCTAGTTCCAAGAGCCATCCATCCATGTCTTCCTGGTGTTCCATTGTTCCCCAGTACCAGCAGCCCCCATTGCCCCCTATCCCCTCTCACCCCTGTGGTCCCTGTCCCTGACTGACCCTGGAGGATGGGGAGGGGGGAGTGGGGGGGTCATGTTGAGGTGTTTCCTGGTACCATCCCCATTCCTGTTCTCATTCCCATTCCCAGTATTTCTATTTCCCATTCCCTGGATGGGCCTGCTTGGTGCTGGAGCTGTACTAACAGCACATCCCCCTGACTTTGGTCTGCAAATGGGGTTGGGGATCACAGTGGGATGACCCTACCCTGCAGTTGCAAGAATTGACCCTATAGGTGGAGGAGTTCAAAGCTGGTTGACCCATCTCCTGTTCCCATTTCTGGTGCTGTTCCCCATTCCCAGTGTCGTTCCTGTTCCTGGTTTTCCCATTCCCAACATGGGGTCTCCAGTGCTGGAGCTGTACTGTCAGACAAAGCCCCTGGCTTTGGTCTGAAACTGGGTTAGGAGTGACAGTGTGATGACCCTGTCTCCAGTTCCCATTCCCATTCCCAATCCTGCTATTCCCATTCACAGAATAAGCCTGCTGGTGCTGGAGCTGCACTGGCAACACAGCCCCTGGCTTTGGTCTGAAGCTCAGGATGTGGGTATCACTTTGGGATGACCCTATTTCCTTTTCCCATTCCTGTTACTGTTCCCCATCTCTGATGCCTTTCCCATTCCCTGTGTTCCCATCCCAGGATGGGGCCACTTGTGCTGGAACTGTACTGGCAACATGCCCCCCGCACCTGCAAGAACTTCGCTGAGCTGAGCCGCCGTGGGTACTACAACGGCACCAAGTTCCACCGCATCATCAAGGACTTCATGGTGCAGGGAGGAGACCCCACGGGTACTGGTGAGTGCAGGCCTCTGAAATCTCCCTGGGACTCTCCCTGGTGCCAGGGGTTCCTGCTGACCTCTGAATCCCCATGCAGGCCGTGGAGGCGCCTCCATCTATGGGAAACAGTTTGAGGATGAGCTGCACCCTGACCTGAAGTTCACTGGTGAGTGGAGCCAGCACTGGGAGAACACTGGAGGGGCATCCCTGGGACCCAAGGACTGCACTTATAGGGGAACAGGACCCCTGAGAACACACCTGTGGGTGGGATGAGATGTCCCCATTTGTGTCCTTATCCATGGAGTGACATGACTCCCAGGACTCCAGTCATGGGGTGGCATGTTTCAAGGAGGCTGGTCATGGAGTATGTCCTCCTGGACCCTGGCCATGAGGTGGCATGTTTCCCCTGTCCCCCAAGATCCCGTCTATAGGGTGACAAGTCCGCTGTGTCCCCAAAACCCCATCCATGGAGTGATGTGACCCCAAGGAGCTTTGCCATGGGATGCCCTCTCCTCTGTTTCCCCATTCTTGGAGTGACGTGTCCCTGTATCCCACAGACGCTAGGATCCTGGTGATGGCCAACATGGGCCTGGACACTAACAGGAGCCAATTCTTCCTCATGTTCCCCTAAAACCTCTTCATTGCATGACATTTTCCCCATGACACCAGAACCTTCGCTAGGGGATGACGTGTCCCTGAGACCCCATCCATGAGGTGGCATGTCCTCTATATTCCCCAGGACCCCATCCCTGGAGTGGCATGTCCTCCAAGACCTTGGCCATAGCATGGCATGTCCCTCAGGGTGCCAGGACCCTTGGTCCATGTCCTGCAGGCACTGGGATCCTGGTGATGGTCGGTATAGGGCTGTACCCCAATGGGAGCAAGTTGTAACTGATGTCCACTAAGACCCCTCCATCAGGTGAGAGGTTCCCCAGGAGCCTGTCCATGGAGTCACATGTCCCAAGGATCGAAGCCATAGGATGACACCCTCCAGGATCCCAACTTTAGAGTGACATGTTTCCCATGGTACCGGGATCTTGGTCATGAGATGACATCCCCTCATAGGATGACATGTCCCCCATCATGCTGGAACCTTGCTGTGGGGTCACATGTCCCCTGTATCCCCATCCATAAGGTGACATGTCCCCATGTCTCACAGGTGCCGGGATCCTAGCAATGGCCAATGCAGGACCGGACACCAATGGAAGCCAATTTTTCCTGACACTGGGCCCAGCACAGTGGCTGGATGGGAAGCACAGCATTTTCGGGAGGGTATGCCAAGGAATGGGGGTGCTGGGGCGCCTAGCCATGGTGGAGACCAACTCCCAGGACCGACCCCTCGACGATGTAAAGGTCATCAAGGCGTATCCCTCAGGGTAGGGATGTGAGGTGCCCTCCCTCCAAATCGTACTGCATGTTTGTAATAAAGGAGGTTGGATGTGGTGGGCTCTCCCACAGAGTGTTGGTTTTAGGGGGAGGTTGGGGAAGTGTTTTTGACATGGTGGGGGTCTGGGAGATTGTGAGTCCCCCATAAAGGGTTTGTGGGTCCCCTTGGAGGTGTGGGTGTCTTTCCTTGGGGACATGGAGCTACCAGTGGCCGCAGTTCCTGGGTGTGCAGAGTGGATGCCAGAGACCCAAATTTACCCCTACTGTGAGGTGTCTGTGTGTCCTAAAAAGTTTCCTGGGACCCCCCAGAGTGTCCCTCCATCATGGACCAGTTGGATCACTGAGCTTGGGGTGGAAAGGGGGGGTTGATGCTGTCCCCCTAGAGTGGGCTCCCCACACAGCACTGGGGACCCTTGAACTGGCAGTGGGGTCCTCATGCCCGCACACACTGGGTTCCCCCCTGGCACTAGGTAACTGCCTCCAGCAATGGGTGTCCCCTCTGGCTCTCGATGTCGCCTCCATTGCTCCCAGTGCAGGACCTGGGACACTACTGGCAGTTGCTGGATGTTTCCAGAATGGTGCAGAGGTGATATTGGGAGCTACTGGGGGATAGCAGAGGACTGGGGGACTCTGTGTTTGCAGTTGGTGGGGATACTGTGAAGGTTCTGATTAAGGGGGAACTAGAGGGCCTGGGGCCTCATTCTGGGGAGTGGGTGGTATTGAGAGTGTCACTATGGCACAGGGGGTGGGCATACTGGGAGTATCGGAAGGGTGCTGGGGCTACCGGGGAGGGAGCACTGGGGTCAGGTCTAGGGGTGATCCCGGGGGCAGTACCAATGGTCCATGGTGTACCAGGGTCTGGAGGCAGCCTTAGGGCAGTAGCAGTGATCTTGGGGTGACCCCGGGTCTGGTCCTTGGTACCCGTGTCTGGGGGGCACTGGGGATGGGGAGGCAGCACTGGTGACGATGCGGGGGAAGGCACTGGCCTTCCTCAGACTGATGCCGGGGATCTGGGGGTGATGCTGGGGATCTGAGAGCTATCCCGGGGACAGTACCGGTGGTCCGAGGCGGTATTGGGAATGAGGAGGCGGCCCCTCGGGCGATGCGAGGGAGGTACCGGTGGTCGGGGGAGGTACAAGGGATTTGGCCTTGATGCCGGAGCGATGCCGGGAATCTGAGGGGGATCCCGGGGGGAACCGGGCTATGGAGGCGGCTCTGGAGTTGATGCGGGGGCCATACCGGAGATCTGGCGGCATTTCCGAGGCGGAGCCGGTGGGGTCCCTCGGGCTCGGGAGGTACCGGGGATTTGGAAGCAGGCCCGGAGGGAATCTGGGGGTGATCCCGAAAATTTCGGGGCGATCCCAGGGGCGGTATCGAGGGTCCGTGGTGGTACCGGAGAAGGGGAGCCGGCCCCGGGGGCGATCCCGGAGGCGGTACCGGGTATCTGGGGGCGGTCCCGAGCCGGTCACGGTCTCCCGGTAGGGGGTCGCGAAGAAGACCCCGGGACACTCCCTCGGCGCGCGGCCAGGGCCGGTGCCAGAAGCTCCGGGCGGTGCCAAGGGCGGTCCCGAAGAAGACCCCGGGGCAGTCCCTCGGTGTGGGTCCGGAGCCGGTACCGGGAGCCCCGGGCGGTGCCAAGGGCGGTCCCGAGGCGGAGCCGATCGCGATCGCAGTGCTAGTGCCGGTGTCGGGGCAGCGACGGAGCCCGGGGCATGGCGGGCCTGGGTGCCTCGGAACCGGGCATCGGCCCCGGTCCTGTCCCGGCCACTCGCGTGGAACTCACAGTGTCCTGCAGGTAGCGGGGCCGCGGCGGGAGCCGGCACCGAGCGGCGGGGGCGCAGGGAGGCGCTGCTGCTGGTGTTGGAAGGTGCTGGGAGGCATTGGGTTGCACTGTGGTGACTGTGGTGTAAGGGTAGCTGCCGTTGGAGGGTGCTGGGATTCACAGAGAGGCACTGGGAAGCACTGGGGAGCGGCATTGGAGGGTGCTGAGGTACATTGGGAGGCACTGAGATCCCGTGGGATAGACTGGGAAGCATTGGAGAGTTGGGAGCAGTTGGCGTTGTAGGGCACTGGGTTGCACTGGAACGCAATGAGATGCATCGGGAGGCACTGGAGTGCCGCAGCAGCAGCCGTCGAAGGATGCCAGGGTGCACTGTGATGCACTGAGGTCCCATGAGATGCACTGGAATGCACCGGAGAGTGAGAGCAGTTGGTGGTGTGAATTGCTGAGATGTATTGGAATGCACTGAGATGCTCTGGAAGTCACCGGGAGACACTAGGGAACGAGGTGCAGTCGGCAATGAAGAGCACTGGGAGGCACGGGGAGGCACTGGGGAGCAAGGCAGCTGGCGCTGGAGGCACTGAAATGCCTTAGGAGGCACTGGGATTCACTGGAAGACATTGGAACTTTGGGAGGCGTTGGGGAGCATGGGGAGCACAGGGAGTGTTGGGTGTGGGGACAGAGGGGCACTGGGTGAGCCAAGGGTGCTGAGGATGCAGGGCACTGAGGGGAGTAGGGGGCACAGGGGGGCATTTGGGGGTTTCTGGGACTGGGAGTGCAGGGAGGTCAGGTTTGGGGGATTCTGGGGATGCAGGGGTGTCAGGTTGGACCCTGTATCCCCTGCAGCCCCTGTGTCCCTTGCCCAGCCTGAAACTCCTGAATCCCCAGGCTCGGCCACACTGCATCATCTACATTCCTTGTACCCCCTGCCCACCCTGTAGTTCCTGTACCCTCCCTCTGCAACCTGAGGTCTTTCTTTGGTGTACTGATAACTGTACCCCTGACATATGGCACTCCAACATGTGTCATGCTGTGCACCCTGTGCAGATGTGTCTGTGCACCCCAACTTGTGCTGTGGGGCACATCTGGTAGTGCACCCTAACACCCAGCCATGCTCACCAACACCCTGCTGTGCACCCTGACACATGGTTGAGCCCCCAGCACATGGCCCCCCAACATGTGTCAAACATGCTTTGCACCACAATCCATGTTGTGGGGCACACCTGGTTGCTCACACCCTGCCATGCACCCTCTCACACAAGAGGGCACGACATGTGGCTGTGCACCTCAGCATGTGTTCTGTGGTACATCTGACCGCCTAACAGGTGCACGCAGTCAAAGACACAGCCAGATGCTCACATTCACATTCACACTCACTCACACGCACACGCACGCACACTCACACTCACTCCTCCCTGCCCCCCAGGCAGCTCCTGGACAGGGACACCTTCTCCAAGTCGGACCCAAGTGAGTGAAGCAGGGGGGATGGGATATGTTTTGGCTCTTAGGTGTTTTGGGGAGGCTCTGGGGAGCTTGGAGTTTCTGGGGGTTTTGGGGTCTCTGGAAGGTCGCAGGGGATTTTTAGATCTCTGGGGGGTTTGGGGGTCTCTGGGGATTGGGGGGGGGGGGGGTCTCTGAGGTATTTTGGGAGTATCTGGGGGTTTTGGGGGGTCTCTGGGAGCATCAGTGTCTCTGGGGAGTGTTATGATCTCTGGGGGTTTGTGGGGTCTCTGAGGTGTTTTGGGGGATATCTGGGATTGTTGTGGTTCTGTGAGGTTTTGGGAGTCTCCAGGACATTTTGGAGGGTTCTAGGGGTCTTGGGAGGTCTAGGGAGTGTTGGGGACTCTGGGGGTTTTGGGTGCTCTTTGGGGTTTTGGAGATCTCTGGGGGATTTGGGGAGCCTCTGAGGTGTTTTGGGGGTCTCTGAGGATGCCTGCCTCTCCTGACCCCTCCCCCTGCAGTCTGTGTGCTGTACACGCAGCGCCCTGGCAGCCACCAATGGCGGGAGGTGAGTGACTTGATTGGTGGGGGGCAGCCAATCAGCATGTTGGGCTGTGCTCAGCTGGCCAATTGGTATATTAGTGTGTACTCAGCCAGCCAATCAAGATTTGGGGTTCTAGCTGGCCAACCAATCATCAGCATGCTGGGGCGATGAACAATCAGCATGTCTGTGTGCCAACCAGATGGCCAATCAGCATGTCAGGCGTAATGGCAGCCAGCCAGCCAAGCAACATGTAAGATTCTGGCCTATCAGCATGTTGGGGTGATGGCCAACTGGCCAATCAATGTGTTGGGGTACCAACCAGTTGGCCAGTCACCAGTGAGCAATCAGCATCTTAGGGTGCAGCACCTGGACACTGAGCATTCTGGGATGCAGCAGCCATCCAATCAATGCCTGGGGGCAGATCGATCAGCCACCCAGCATCCTGGGGATCTGCGGAGCATGTCGAGGTGCTGGGCAGCCAGCCAGTCAGCTGTCGGCATGCAGCCAGGCCCCACCCATCATAATTAACATTGTGTTAATTACGGGGTAATGAGCGGGAGGTGGGGCGGCCCCGAAGCACAAAGCGGCACCTGGGCCTTCTCTGCCCCTGCCCACCCCTTTCCCACGCATGTCCCCACACATGCCCTGGCCCGGGCCCGCTGCCCACCATTGCCCCACCTTCTCCACCCACGTGTCCTCATGTCTCCAATCTCATGTTCTCTCATGTATCTGTGTCCCCATGTTGCTATGTTCCCATATCCTCGTGTCCCCATGTCTCCAGCCCCATGCCCACATGTTGTCATGTCCCTGTGTCTCCATGTCACTGTGTCGCCATATCTGTATGTCCCTATGTCCACAATATTTTGTCCCACTGCCCTCATTCCTATGCCCCCACCCTCATTCCCATGCCCCTGTTTTCTGGTGCTGTGTTCACACATCCCTGTGTTCCCATGTCCTCATGTCCCTGTGTCTTTCTTCATCCCTATGCTGCCATGTCTCTGTATCTCCATGTCCCCATATCCCTGTATCCCCATCCCCCTTGCCCATGTTCCCATGCCTTTGCTCCCATGTCTCATCATCTCTATGTCCCCATGTCCCTGTGTCCAAATCACCACATCCCCATGTCCCTGTCCCTACCCCATGTTTTCCTGTCACCCCATCATCCCTGCTGTCCCCATATTCCCCAGTTTGGCCGGACTGAGGTCATCGACAAGTCCCTGAATCCTGACTTCCTGCACAAGTTTGTCCTTGATTATTGCTTTGAGGAGCGGCAGAACCTCCGCTTTGACCTGTGAGTGGCCCCAGTGGCCCCAGTGTCACCCCCAGCGTCAGCCCTCTGTCCCACAGGGTCATCCCTTGGCAACCCTGGCACAGCCCCTCAGGGTGTCCTTGTCCCCATCCCTGTTCTGTCCCCATTCCCGGACCATTGCCACCCTTGTTCACATCCCTGTCCCCATCCTTGCCCAATCCCATTGTCATCCCTATCCTATCCACTTCCCATTCTGTCCTTGTCCCATCCTGCCTCTATCCACATCCCATCCCTGTCCATTCCATTGTGTCCCTATCCCATCCCACCCTGTTCCTGTACCCTTGTCCCATCCTATCCTTATTCTTTTCCCCATCCCATCCCCACACCTAATCCATCCCTAGTTGTGTACCATCCCTCTCTCATCCCATCCCTCCCACTCTATGTCCCCCTCCCATGCAATCCCTGTCTCCATCCCTGTTCCCATACTTGTTCCATCCAAGGCCCCCCCCTTCCCGTTCCATGCCAACATGTCACCTCTGCCTCCAGGTATGATGTGGACTCCAAGAGCCCTGACCTCTCCAAGCATGTAAGTGCAGGATCAGCCCTTGGCCTCCCTGGGATGGGCACCCCCACTGGTGACATCCAATATTCCCGATCCTGCAGGATTTCCTGGGCCAGGCATTCTGCACCCTGGGAGAGATTGTGGGCTCAGCTGGCAGCCGTCTGGAGAAGCCCCTGACGTGAGACCCCCTTTGCCCCAGTGTCCCCATATCCTACCCCAGTGAAGCCCCTCTTGCACCCCAGTGTGCCCCTGTTCCTTCCAGAGAAGCCCCTGATATGAACCCCCCCAGCTCCAGTGTCCCCATGTCTCCCCCCCACCCCGAGTTTGAGCCTCCACTGTGGTCCAATGTCCCCAAAGTCCTCAGGGTCCCCATGCCCCACACTGGAGAGACTCCTGATGGTAGCCACCCTCATCCCCAGTGTCCTGTGGTCCCTACGTCTCTGCCCCAGGGAAGCCCCCAGTGTGAGCCACCTCCCCCACACATCCCAATGTCCCTGTGACCTCTCCCATGGAGAAGCCTTTGACATGAGTCCTGCCTGTGCCTCAGTGCTCCTGAAGTCACCATGTCCTCTTTGGAGAAAATCCTGGGTTTCTCCAAAACCAGTATTTTGGAGAAAACTGGGAAACTCAGTGTCCCCATGTCCCTCCCTGGAGAAACCCTTGACATGAACCCCCATGGCCCCAGTGTCCTCATATCTCCCCAGGTCCCTTTTGGTGTGCCCAGGATGGACTCAGACCCCAGAGCAAACAGTGTCATTTTGGATTGGGGGGTGGGGGGAGTCTGGCTTTTTTTTTTTTTTTTTTTTTTTTTTTTTTTTTTATGGGGGTGGCTTTTTGGCAGGAAAAGCATTTTTTGGGGTCTGGCTTTTTCTTGGGATGGTGGCTTTTGGAGGGAATATGGGTTTGGGGGAATCTGGCTTTTGAAGGATCTGGCTTTTGGGGGGGCTCTGGCTTTTGGAGGGGTCTGATGTTTTTGGGATTGGCTTTTTCAGGGGCAGTTTTGTGGGAATTGACTTTTTGGGGGCATGAATGTCTTTTGGGGACTGGCTTTTATGAGGGGAGAAACAGCTTCTTTTTAGGATGCTGGGATCTGGGGTGGGGTGGGGGGGCTGTTTTGGTTTTTTTTTTGTAGACTTCCTTTTTTTGGAAGGGAGGGCTTTTTATTGGGTGGGGATCCCCTCTATCACCCTTCAGCATGTGTCCCTGCAGGATGGGGACAGCCACCATGCACCCCCGGGGCAGGAGACCTGCCCTGGCTGCCTCTAGTGGGTAAGTTTTGGGGTGCTCAGTGTGCGGGGGACACCTCCAAGACACTACGTGTGCCCCTGCTATGCTCACATCCCATCCTGGCAGTGGCATTCTAGGGAAGAAGTGCGGCACCATCATACTCCTTGCTGAAGAGCTGGGAAACTGCCGGGTGAGCTGCGGCAGGGCAGGGGAGGGGGCGTTGCTTGGGGTCCCCACAATATCGAGGGTGGATGAGACACACTAGCCCGCAGATCAGACTGTGTGCTGTTTATCCTCACGCGGGGTCCTGCCTGTCCTGAATCCCTCCTTCCCTCATGGAGCAGCCACCCCGAAGGATCCCACCCCTGAGGGGGGTGCAGGATGGATGACCCCATCGATTCCACCCCCCCAGGATGTGGCCACACTCCAGTTCTGCGCCAACAAGCTGGATAAGAAAGATTTCTTTGGAAAATCTGACCCCTTCATGGTCTTCTACCGCAGCAATGAAGACGGGACGTGAGCAACCCCCCCTCAAAACTTCAGTGACCCTCCCACACCTCACGAGAGGACTCAGCCCCAGCACAGGGCACCCCTATGTCCCCATGGGCTGGCATTGGCGGGGGTGTCCAAAAATCCTCACTGCACTGTGGGGGTGACAGACTGGGGGGGTGTTGGGATGGGAGAATAGCTCCCTTGCACCCCCTTGTCTTCCCCCCAGTTTCACCATCTGCCACAAGACGGAAGTGGTGCGGAACACACTGAACCCTGTCTGGGCAGCATTTGCCATTCCTGTGCGTGCCCTCTGCAATGGGGACCATGACCGGTGAGTGCCAAGGGACTGGGACCCTCTGCACTGCCTCTTTGGCCCCAAAGACCTCCCTCTCCCTCTTCCCCCCATATCTAGGGTGCACTAGGACTCCTGAACCCCCTTCCCCCATCTCTGTCATGGCCAGGGACACCCTGCACTCCCATCTTTGTGGTCCTCTGGGACCCCCTGAACCCCTTTTCCCCCATCTCTGTGGGCCCTCAGGACCCCCTTTTCCTTCTTTCCCCCATCTCCTGGGTCCTCCAGGAAGCCCTGCACTCCATGTCCTCATCTCTGTGGTACCTCTGGACTCCCAGAGCCCACTCACTCCATGTCCATGGTACTCCAGGACCCCCTTCCCCTCTCTCTGTGGTCCCCCAGAATTCCTTTCCCTGAGTCTGTGGTACCTCAGGACCCCCTGCAGCCCTTCTACCTTCCCTGTGGCCCCATGAGACACCCTTCTCCCCACCTCTGTGGCCACCTGAGATGCCCAGAACCCCTTCCCCTGTCTCTGGTACCAGTAGCACACCCCTGCCCCCACCTACCCAGTGTTACCTGCTTTTGCCTCAGTTTACACAGCAATGGGCATCACAGCTGTTGTTGAGCTATTCCTCCCCCCCAACCCCCATCCCAAATCAGTGTCACCAGCTGTTGTCCTGGCAAACAGTTCCTCACACTGCTTTGGCCCCAAGTTGGACGTTGCTGTGGCAACGATGGATAAAAATATCCCAAGGAGGAGGAGAAAGAAGCAGGAAAAAGCCCACAGAGGAGTGGGGGGGTTGTGTGTGATGGGTCTCCAGGGGAGGAAGTGGGATGGGATTTGGGGGTATCAGGGGGTGTCAGTGACCCTCCTTTGCCTTGCAGAGCCATCAAGGTGGAGGTATATGACTGGGACCGTAATGGCAGGTGAGCTGTGTGTGGTCCTGGGGATCCCCCTCACCCTGGACCTGCACCCCCTGCATGACAGGGACGCCCCACCACACTGGCATCCCTGGGGAGATGGAACCCCCCTGGGTTTTGGGGACCTCCCAGTTGATGGGAATCCCCACAGGCTATTTGGGACTCCCTGGCTGATGGGAAATTTCCTGGGCAATGGGAAGCCCCCCATCCCCACACCCTTGAGTGATGGGGAACCCCCTGGGCAATGGGAACCTCCCTAACCGGACTGATGGAGATCCACTGGCCTTGCAGCCACGACTTCATTGGGGAGTTCACCACCAGCTACCGGGAACTGGCACGAGGCCAGAGCCACTTCAATGTGTATGAGGTGAGGGGGGATGAGTACATGGCTCCTGCACCCCACCCCAGCTCCATGGGGGTCATGCTCCTACTGCTGCACCCCCAGGGGTTATGGTCTCCAGGGACCCTGTGCTGCACCCCTGTGTGTTGGGGTCTTAACATTGCACCCCTTGGGTGTTATGGTCCCCAGGGTCCCTCACTCTGCTGCAGCTGTGCATGCCAGGGTCTCTCTGTAGGTGCTACATGCCCCAGGATCCCCATGATGCAGTTCTGGGGTGTTACATTTCCCAGGGTCCCTCCCAACCCTGTACCCTGGTGTGCCATATACTCACAGGGTCCCTCCTGCACTCTGATGTAGTGGTGCCCAGAGTGCTCATGCTGCAGCCACAGAGGTTTATAGTCCCCCTGATTACCTGTGCCCCAGGGTATTGGGACCCCCACACTGCACCCCTGGGGTGTTATGGGCCCCATGCTGCACCCTGGGGTGCAAGACCCACAGCTGCTCCCTTGAGGGTCCCCAGCCCCCACCATGGATCTCCAGCTGCACTACAATCCCCAGGGTCCCCACATGCACCCCTGGGTGTCACAGCCCACCATGTGCTTCTCAAGGTCCCTCTCTGCACCTCAGCACAGTGCTCCCACTGCTGCCCCCCAGCATATTCTGTGCCCCCCTTTCGCCCTGGATGTGACAGTCTGTTACACTGCTCCCTGGGGCCCCCTGTCCTTGTGAGAAGCAGACCCTTTTTCTCTCCTCCCATCCCTGCAGGTGGTGAACCCCCGGAAGAAGATGAAGAAAAAGAAGTACCTGAACTCGGGGACAGTGAGGAGGGGGATTTGCAGAGCAGGGGTGACACAGGGAGATGAGGAACTTCCTCCCCTGAGCCCCATGTCCCCACAGGTGACACTGCTGTCCTTCACTGTGGAGGCCGAGCATACCTTCCTGGACTACATCAGGAGCGGGTGAGCAGGGGCTCTCCAGCACCTCCAGCTGCACTTTTGAGGGTCCTGAACACCCCCAGCTCCTTCCTTGGGGGTACCCAGCACCCTATGCTGCTCTTTAAAGGGCAGGGAATCCCCAACATCCCCAGCTTCTACTTCACAGGCAGGCGGGTCCCCAGGACCCCCATCTTCTCCCTTGGAGGTCCTCAGTACCCACAGTTGCTCCATCGGGGAGCAGGGGTGTGATGTTCCTGATATCCTCAACTCCTCCCTTTGGGATCCCCAACACCCCCAGCATCTCCACTGGGGGGTCCTCAGCTCACCTAGCTCCTCCACTGGGGATCTCAGCATCCCCACCCAGATGCCTCTCTGGGGGCAGACTGTCCCCATCACCCACAGCTGCTTCACTGGTAGTTCCCAGAACCCACAATGACTCCCTTTAGAAGTCTCCAGCACTCCTAACAGCTTTGGGGTCCCCAACACCCCCAGCTGCTCCTCTGGGGAAAGAGGATCCCCACCACCCCTATCTTCTCCATTGGGGGTCCTCAGCACCCCACCCAGATGCTCCCTCATGGGCAGAGGCTCCCCAGCACCCCAAATTGGTAATCTGGGGGTCCCCAGCACCCTCAGTCACTCCCTTAGGTGCAGCATGGTGACACCTCAGTGCAGGGACACTTGGGGGTGCTCTGAATTGTGATATGGGTGCACCCAGTCCAGCCTGTGGCCCCAGGGGTGCCCCACCCCAAATCCACAGGTGTCACCCCAAGGCCACTTTACCCACTCAGGACCCAACTCAACTTCACAGTGGCCATTGACTTCACGGCATCCAATGGTGAGTGGCAGCTGTGTCTCCCCTGGGGGATTTAATTGGGGCAGTGGTAACCAGTTTGGTGTCATAGTGGTGCCATCCTTGTCACCAACTTGGGGACATGGTGTTGTTTTCCTTGTAGTTGTGTTGGGGACATGGTCATGTCTCCCTTGTCACTGGGTTGGTGTCATGATGGCATTGTCCTTGTTGTGGGTCTGGGGCCATGGTGGTGTTATTTTTGTCACTGTATTGGCACTACAGTGGTGTCATACTTGTCACCAGCTGTCTCTGGGTTGTCACCAAGTTGGGAATACGGTGGTATCATCCTTGTCACTGGGGATGTGGTGGCATTTGGAGACATAGTGCGATCATCCTTGTCCTTGTCATCATGTTGGGGATGACATCATCCTTGCCACTGGGTTGGGGCTATAATGGTGAGGTTGTGGGAATGCTGGGGATGTTTTGGGGGTGCTGGGGGGGATTATGACAGTGCTGGGGGGGCTGTGGGGGTGCTGAGCCCCATGCCTGTGCAGGGAACCCATCGCAGCCCACGTCCCTGCACTACCTGAGCCCCTTCCAGCTGAATGCTTACAGCCTGGCACTGAGGGCCGTGGGGGACATCATCCAGGACTATGACAGCGACAAAATGTTCCCAGCCCTTGGCTTTGGTGCCAAGATCCCCCCAGATGGGCACGTGTCCCACGAGTTCCCACTGGTGAGGGGCCAAGGGGGGACAGGACTGTGCATGAAGGGTGGTGTCCTTGTCACACAGTTGGGGACATGGTGGTATCATCCTGTCATGTTGTTTGGGACATGGAGGGACATTGTCCTTGCGTTGGGGCTATGGTGGTGTGATCCTTGTACTGGTCTGGGGCAGTGTCATCTTTATGACCAGGTTAGGAATGGGTTTGGTGTTGTCACCAGTTTGGGGTCATAGTGGTTTCATCCTTAATCACCAAGTTTGGTACATGGTGTGTTTGGGTTGGATCTGAATTGGGGATGTGGTGGTGTCATCCTTATCCTTGGGCTGGGGACATAGAGGCATCATCATTTTGTGACTAGTTTGGGGTCATGGCAGTGTCACCAGGTTGGAGACACAGTAGTATCATCCTCATCACCAGGTTCAGGATGTGGTGGTGTGGTCTTTGTCACTGTGCTGGGCATATGATGATATTGTCCTTGTCACCTATTTTCACTGTGTTGGGGACATGGTGGTATCATTCTTGTCACTGGGTTGGGGATGTGGTGGCATTTTTTTTGTCACTGGGGATGTGGTGGTGTCATCCTTGTCTTGGGTTGGGAACATAGTGGTATCATCATTTTCTCACTGGGCTGGGGCCATGGCAGTATCATTCTTGACACTGAGTTGGGAACGTGTTGGTGTCTTTCTTGTCACCACATTGTGGACATGGTGGGATCATCCTTGTTAGCATTTGGGGGCCACGGCAATGCCATCTTTGTCTGTGGGCGGGTCCGTGGTGTCACCCTGCCCATGGGTGGGGGCTGTGGTGTCACCGTGGTCCTGGTGACCCTACGGCAGAATGGAGATGCATCAAACCCGGCGTGCCACGGCATTGCGGGGGTGCTGGAGGCATATCAGCGCAGCCTGCGCCATGTCCAGCTCTATGGCCCCACCAACTTTGCCCCTGTTGTCAACCATGTTGCCCGGTAAGAGGGGCCCCATGCCCTGGGGTGGGGTCCCTGTGCCCTCAGCGTCACACAGGGTCCCCCTAGCTTGGCGGCCACGGTGCTGGACGGGTCCCAGTACTTTGTCCTCCTCATCATCACCGATGGTGTCATCTCTGACATGGCCCAGACCAAGGAGGCCATCGTCAATGTAAGACCCTCGTGGTGGCATTGGGGTGGGTGGTGGCACCCCTGGGTGCTGGGACCCTTGGCTAATGGGGGCAGTAGGAAGGGATTGAGACCCTTGAGGGGGTAGGAAAGGTTGGGGACCCCTGGGTGCTGGAGTGATGAGGAGTAGCTAGAACCCTTACGAGGTTGTGAAGGGGCTTGGACTCCTGGGTTCTGAGGGGTTGTGGATGGCTGGGACCCTTTGGGTGATGGGGTGGGTGAGGAGGAGCTGGGACCCTGAAGCTGAGAGGGAGGGGTGGGTTGGACCCTTGCATGCTGGAAGGGAGTGGGGAAGGGGCTCGGAGTCCTGGGTGCTGGGGCAGGGTGTGGACCCCTGGGTGCTGGAGGCAGTGAGGAGGGACTGGGACCATTGAGAGGTGGGAAAGGGCTTGGACCCCTGGTGTTGAGAAGGGGCTTGGACCCCCAGGGTTCGATGTGTAGGGGTGTCTGGAATCCCTGGGTGCTGCAGGGGGGCTGGGAAGTTCCTGGAGCCCCCTGATGCTGGTGGGGAGGTCTCAGACCTTTGGGTGATGAGGGGGGTGGTGAGGGACTGGAATCCTTGGGGGAGGGGGTGTTGGCATTCCTGGGCGCTGCGGGGAGGGAAAGGTGGCTCATTTGGTGGCAGTATCATTAAATTGCATGGGACTCCCTCCATCCCCTGGCTCCCTAAGGCTGCCAAATTGCCTATGTCCATCATCATCGTGGGGGTTGGCCAGGCCGAGTTCGATGGTAAGATATGGGGGCTGGGGGGTACTAGGGGAAGGCTGGGGGGATGGGGGTGGGGTCCTTTGGCCACTGGAACTACGAGTTGAATGCGTCAGCATATGAATGGGCTCAGCATACCTCAGTGAGGGGGCTTGGGGGTTCTGGGTGTGGGGTTGAGAGGGACATAATAGGATCTCACCCTGGGGTGGGGGGCACTGGGGTGCTGTTGATCTCCCCCCAACATTGCCCGTAGCCATGGTGGAACTGGATGGGGATGACATCCGCATCTCTTCCCGTGGGAAAGTGGCTGAGCGTGATATTGTCCAGGTAACCAACCTCACCAATGACGAATTTGGGGACCCCCTCCCAGCCCACCCAGCAGGGTGGTGGTGGGGGGTGCCCTGGGGAGCTCAAATCAGCCCCATCATTCCTGGGGTGCACTGGGTGGCACTGGTGTGGAGGGATGATAAGGTGGACTGGGACATGGTGGGGCACTGGGACATGAGCGAGATGCACTGGGACAAGAGGATGCAATGGGTTTGGGATGCACCTGGATGGGGGGATGCACTGGGATTTGGGAGTGCACTGGCACATGGTAGGAGCACTTCACTGGGAAAACAGGGTGCCCTGGGACTTGGAACGCTCCTTAGAATGAGGGTGCACTGGGACATAGGACCATATTAGGATATGGGAGGCACTGAGAGATGAAGGAGACAATAGGACATGAAAGGAGGTTTACTGGGAAATAGTGGGGGGGTTGGAATTGGGATGTTGGGGGTGTGCTGGGACATAGAAGCAGTGCACTGGGAAAAAGGAATGCACTGGATTTTGGAATGTACCTCAGTGGGGGGAGACACTGGGACATTGGGTGCACTAGGTACATGGTGGGGGCCTTCACTGGGAAAAGTGGGTGACCTGAGATTTAGGCTGTACCTTGGAATGGGGGTGCAGTGGGATATGGGGGTTTATTAGGATATGGGGGGCACTATGGCATGAAGGGGGTTGGTACTGGGAAATGGGGGGGGCACTGGGATGTGGGGGGCACTGGGACATGGAGGGGCATGTACTGGGATATGGAGTAGCACTGGGACACGAAGAGGGAATGTACTGAGACATTTTGGGGGACTGTGCTGCAAAAAAAAGGTGCAATGAGACTTACAATGTTTGTGGATGTGGAAGAGAGCCTGGGACATTAGCAGGCACTGGGACATGGGAGAACATTGGGACATTGGAGGGGGGCACTGGGATATGGCATGTACCTGGATGTGGGGGGCACTGGGATATAAGGAGGGTGTACTGGCAAATGAAGGCGTCACTGGGGCACCAGGATGGACCCGGATGTGGGAGGCAGTGGGACATGGGGGTGTATTGGGAAATAAGAAGAGACACTGGGATATGGGGGCTGTGGGAAATAGGAGGCTCTGGGAGGGGCACTGGGGCTTGGGATTTACGTGGATGTGGGGGTGCCTTGGGACATGAAGAGGGCTGTGCTGGGAAATGGGGAACACTGGGATGTGGGAATACCTTAGGACACAGAGGGGGGTACCAGGATATGGGGGGCACTGGGTCTTAGTACGTACCTGGATGAGGTACCCAATGAGGGACATTGGGACATCAGGAATGGGGAGGGGACACTGGAGCTGCTTGTGTGCACGGCACACAGTTCCAGGGGCTTCCTGGCCCTGGACCCCCTCAAGTGCTCTGCCCCCCTGTGCCTCCCCAGTTTGTTCCATTTCGTGACTACATGACGGGGGGTCCCGGCGCAGGGCTGAGCATGGCAGGGTTGGCGCGAGAAGTCCTTGCCGAGATTCCTGACCAGCTCCTCTCTTACATGAAGGCACGGGGCATAAAACCAGCGCCCCATCCCTCCCATGTCCCCTGAAACCTCCCCACCCTGCCTGCCCATTCCCAACACACCATATCCCTTCATCCTACCCCAGGACCCTCTATCCAGGGACCAAAGGCAGCCATACTCTGTCAGGGACCTGGGACTGGAAGTCCCTCTCCTCCTTCCACAACTTTGGGATCCCCTCCCCAATCCGGGTTCCCACCACCACACCCATAAACCAGCTTTTGGGATTCCTGGGGGAATTGGGATGGTGTTGCCTGAGCATTCTTGGCCATGGGACTGCCCCCTGTACCCATCCAGGATTGTCCTGCCCCCACAAAAAAGGGGCAGGGGTTCTTCAGCAGCCTGACCAGAAAGCTGGGGTGTGCAGGAGCCTCCACCAAATGTGGAGTGCCCCCCTAGTGTGATGCATGACTCCTCACCTCACCATCTTCCCCAAATTCATGGTTCCCCTGCATTTCCTGGGCTGATCGCAGTGGGGTTCCCAGTGGTTTTGGTGTTCCCCCTTGCCGTATTGCATGTGTCCATGTGGGTTTGTATTGAGTTGCCTTAAATTGCAATAAATTATTGTGGCTTTGATTATAGCCCCCTTCCCTGGGATGCCCCAGCATCTCCTCTAAAAGGGGCCCTGCCCTGGCTGTATGTATAACCCCACCATGTGTGACCCTCCCCAGCTGTGTGACACCTCCCAGGCCTGTGACAACTCCCCTGCTCAGCTGTGTGACTCCCCCACTCCAGCTCTGACTCCCCCAGCTCTGCCCCCTCCCCATCTGTGATCCCCTCCAAGCTGTGACCCCCTGCCCACTGTGTCACCCCCTCAACCTGTGCTCCCCAGCTGCAACACCCCAGCTCTGACCCCTCCCCAACTGTGTGATTGCCCACACACTGTGTGAACCCCCTCAAATGTATGACCTCCCTGGCTGCGTGACCCCCCTCCCAGCTCTGAGAGCCCTCAGCAGTGTCATGGCTCCATGTCTGATATTCTCTGGCTGTGTGTGATGTCCCCACATGCTGTAACCCCCCGCCAAGGCTTTGCCATCTCCCCAGCTCTGACCCCCTCACCACCTGTGTGTGATACCCCCCCACTGCATGACACCTCCTGACTGTGACCTCTCTATGTGACCGTTCCCCCACTGTGTGACCCTCAAAATTGCAAATACACAGAAATCACCTGGGGCATGGGAGAGTTGGGTTATTTACAGGACTCTGCCCCCCCGCACCCCAAAACTGTTTGAAGGGGGTCCTGGGAAGTCGGAGGGGGCTCACAGAGACCCCATGCCCCAATTCAGGGGATGATAAAGCCCCTGAAACCCAACGGGGGGATCACAGAGATCCCACATCCCACTGGGGGGTTCACAAAGTATCCACATCCCAGTTAGGGGGTCACAAAGCCCTCACACTCCACTTTAGGGTAAGAAAGCATACCCCAACTGTGTCTGTGGGGTCTCATAAAGCCCCCCAGCCCAAAGGGCATGGGGTCACAAAGTGCCTACACTCCAGCTTGGGAAAGGTTATAAAACCCCTGCACCCAAATTGAGGTGGCAAAATGCCCATCCCCCAGTTTGGGGGTCACAAAGCCCCTGCACTCCAGTGGCAGGGTGAAAAAGCTTCCTCCCCCTGGCTGGGAGGTGGGGGTTGTTTTAGGCCCCTGTCTCTCCTCCCAAAAAGAAGTGGCTTTCCCGTGTAAGGGGATTGTACCAGTGGTGAGACCAAACCGGTTGACAGGAACTGGGTGGGGGAACCTCATGTTGGGGTGGCTGCTCTCACTCCCCGCTTCCTGCACCCCTTCAGGGTGCAGGGGGCCTGCAGATTCCCAAACTGCCTCAAGATTCCATTCTTTATTGCTGCATTTCCCTCGGCCAAGCTCAGCCCTGGGAGAAACCAGCACAGATCCCAGGGGGCACAAACCTTAACTGGCACACCAAAACACGGGATCCCTCAGATCAGGCCATGTGAGGGGCCTCATGTTGCTGTGGACAGGAACAGGAGGGGAAAAACGCCCTGAGACTCCCCACAGCAGGGCTGACAAGAGGGGGTGTCATCTTTTGCCCAGGGGGTGTCAGGGGTTGCTCCCATAACTAACTAACTAACTAACAAATAAATAAATAAATAAATAAATAAATAAACACTCCAAATAAAGCGGGAGGAGGGGCAGATGGAACCCTGCATGTATGTCCCCCTGCAGAAGAGTAAGGAGAGGATCCTCGACTGTTTGGGGGGTCCCACCTTGTTTTGTGAGGGGGCCCTGTCAGTTTGGAGGGGTGCCTGACTGGGAAGGTCTTTGCCTGTTTAGGGGGGAGGGCCCAGTAAGGTATCTCCAGAGGCTGCCACTCCAGAAAATCCTGAGCAGAGACATAACTGTCACACCCAGGTCCCTCCACATTTATCGATTGGGCCTCCCCAAACACTCACCTCTTTAGAATCATCATGGAAAAATACTTGGGTTAGGATTAGGATTTGGGGTTATGGCTGGGAATTAGGGTTAGTGTTAGGGTTAATTTCCCATTCAGAATTCTGTCTAGAGGTTACTCAGAAATGTTCCATTGGGGGTTGTCTGTTTCCTCCAGTCACCACCTTACCGCGACAGCCTCGGATCGGGTGTGGGGTGTGTGCCGCAGTAAGGTCCGCAGCAAAACTCTTCCTCCTGAAAGACGCCAAAATCTTAAAATCTCTCCTCAAGGCCATCTCTGCTGATGACTTGCTGAAAGTCGAAATGTTTGCTTCATCTCAGCCGAGTACTTAAGAGATGGCAAACTCACGCCACAAAGCACAGCCCCGCTCAACACCCGCCGCGCCCCCCCCGCCGCGGGCCGCGCCCCCCCCGCCGCGGGCCGCGCCCCCCCCGCCGCGGGCCGCGCCCCCCCCGCCGCGCGCCGCGCCCCCCCCGCCGCGGGCCTCGCCCCCCCCGCCGCGCGCCGCCCGCCGGCCGCCCCGCCCTGCCGCCGCCGCTGCGCCTGCGCACGCGCCTGGCGCCGCTGCAAGCCCCGCCCTCCGCGGTGCCTGCCCGCGGCCCGGGGGGCTTCGTGCGTCGGCTCGGCCGCGGCCCCTCGCGCTGCTCATGGCCCCACGCCATTCCGCCCCGCTCCCGGGCCCGGCGGCACCTCCCCTCCTCCTTGCGGCGTTTGGATTGATCCGAAGCTGCTGGAGCTCCAGGAGCCTTTGGACACCGCTCCCAGGGACGCACAGGCTGCCATTGTTCGGCTGTCTCTGCAGCACCAGGGGCTGCTCTCCATGATTTCGCTGGCTCCCTCCCAGCTCAGCCCCTATTGCAATTTTCACCCTTTGGCTCAGCCTTTGTGTCCCTCGAGGCGCTGGCAGAGCTGCTGGGGACGAGGCAGGAGAGGGGCAGCCCCAGCATTCCCCTATCTGTGACTGTGACACCCCAGCGGTGGCAGCCCTGGCGTTCCCTCCCTGGAGACGCTCCAAAGGATGCATCCACAGCTATGGCCAGTCAAGGAACTGACTGGTCAATGAACACCCCCAACCTGGGCTCGGGGAAGGTCCCCTGGCCACCTCCACACTGCCACAGGCAATTGTCAGATACAGTTACATAGCTCTGTCCAGAGCTGACAGGGAAAGTTCATTAATTTTTTTTTAAAAATCAGCAAGAAAAAGCTAACTCTGCCCTGTAGAGCTGCTCCCTCCTTCTCTAGTTTCACTTGCACACACATAGGACCTGAGACTAAAAACAATGAGTGCTCCTCAGGCATATATGCAGCAAATGTCTTCTCATCCCAGTGAAAAAGGCCAGTTGGGAGGTGGCTCTAGGGCCCTTGGAAAGGGCAAGGGCCAGAGCCTCAGCCTACAGGGAAGAAAAGGGCTCTGAATTGCCTGCCCCTGGCATGTAAACCCTGCTCCCTGGCTGCTTCACACACAGGATTTTTCTGGAGTACTGCAGAAAACTGAGACTCAGCTGTGGCTTTTCCATGTTCCGTGTCCTAAAACTTGCCTGGGAGAAGAAATTTAGGGTCAGCTCTGCTGGCACAATTGCTTCTGGCCCAGGGCAGAGTGGCAGGAAAGTCTTTCTGTGCCAAGGCTTTACTACAGTCAAGGAAAGCTCTTGGCTCAGGATCCTTTCCTTCCTTCCTTCCTTCCTTCCTTCCTTCCTTCCTTCCTTCCTTCCTTCCTTCCTTCCTGCCTTCCTTCCTTCCTTCCTGCCTCCCTCCCTTCCTTCCTTCCTCCCTCCCTTCCTCCTTCCCTCCCTCCCAACTTGCATTTTAATTTGTAAACTCTGAAGTACTTACAGTAAATTACTCTTCCCTAAATATAATTTTTTATGTTCAACGGGCTTTGGTAGTCAAAGTCAAGGGCTATTCTTCCTGGATCTATTACCTGGATTTATTACCTAGAAGGTAATAGAAGTCATTAAATATTCGGTAAAAACTGTCCTAACTACATCTTCATGTCAACCCTTTAGTCTAACTTAGGTTGCTTGCATGCAATTTTTTTCCCCAAGTATTATGGCAACTAAAGAATAATTACATAGATGACAGTTCATGTTTTGCAGAAAGACATCCATGGGATGTTTAGCACTGTCTTGGTTTGAAAAGACAGGAGTCTGTGAAGGAAGGCAAAAGCCTCCTGTGAAATGGAAAAGGTAAACCCCCTCCCTCCGAATTACCACAATTTTAAAAAAGGCTCTCAGGCAAAGATATGGGAATGGGAATAACAGTTCTTTACTAGGAGAAAAAGTAAATAAAAATAATAATTAAAAAATGTAATTAGTACAAATGAAACTAGTGATGGAGTCAGAAACCTGACATCCTGAGGAGTCAAGGTGTTGGCAATAGTCCAGTTAAAATGGTGGCTGCTCCTCCTGGAGTGGCAGATGAAATGCTGCTGAAGTAGTGATCTCTGGAAGGGTGTAGTTTTCTCTGAAGGTCTGGTAGTAGTTGGGCCTGGTCTTCCTCTGGGAATTCAAGAGAGAAGAAACTGCTCCTCTGGGAATCCAGCAAAGGGGCTGCCCAGTGTCCCCAAAAGGTGCTGATTTTATGCAGGTAGGAATGCTTGGCTCCTCCCTCTGGGTGGAGCATCTCACAATTGGATGATGTAACTTTACCATCATGCAGTGAAGTCATTCAATATTCTATTAACAGAAGATATCTCCCCAGAGGGAGACAGTGTTCTTGGAAGAGATAAGAAAACTGCCCAACCTCCAACAGATGGAAATAGAATACATGCTTATCTTACAAGCTAGGACAAGCACACACCTTCGACATGCCTTTTTTATTAAAGGATTTTTTCAATAAATCTCTCGAAATTTAATTGTTCCAATTCTTTAACTCTGGATTCCTTCAAATATTCAAAAACTCACATTAAAACCAACACCTTGCTTTCCAAATTCAGCTATCACAATTCTGTTGGGGTTGTCTAGATAATACCAATCAGAAGAGCTAAATTGTACGTATAACCTTGAAAATATATTTTCTTTTATCACAGTCTATATTTTTACAACTGCCATTCTTATAGAAACAGAGCTCAATTTAAGATAATAAGAATTGTTTCTAGAGATTTTGACTGCTGATAAGATAAGAAATCTACTCTGGAAATTCACTGAAGCTCATTTGCTTTACAACAGGAATGT